CATCTATTCATATGAATTTGAGTTCATTTTTCTGCAAGAGCACATACTTTAAGAGCAATTTTGGATTAAGAGATGAACTAATTAAGATCCTGATGTAATGTTCTCAGAGCTCAAGTTTACATCAAGTTGGTGCATGTGTATTTTTGAGGTATTTCAATCATAGCAGAATGTATTGACTCTCATTTTGGATTTAACGACTGGTTGATTACATATTCCTCGTGCAATAGAATAGTTCTTGTTTCCCAATTTGAGTGCGGGATATATTGGTTGTTTCTTTTACCCTATTGTAAAACTTATCATTAAGGTTGGGTTTTGTATTTCTAAATGATATTGTTTGGATGAATGAAGAACAAAGAACTATGAATCAGTGAAGAGAAGAATTGACTCTTAAATTTTCTGTTTTAATTAGTTATTATTCGTAACATTAGAAATATTTTATTCTTTTGTCTTTCTTTAACGACTGCTTAGTATAATTTGACATGCTTTTGTAATGAACCATGTTTGATTAACTTTCAGAAACCACTATGTTTTAGTGGTTATTAGCTAGTTGTAGCTACCATTTACTATATTACTTCCTATAGCTATGTTTTCAGGTTTTTTAGAGTGTATTCGATGTATTTAAGCTACTGTATTCAAAACTCGGCATGAAACACGGGATTACAGCTAGATTATTATTGTATTCGACTGTATTCACGATATGTATTTGTGTCACGACCCGGATTTCCTACCCTCGGGAGTCGTGATGGCGCCTACTCGTAGAAGCTAGGCAAGCCAAATTTTTAATTACTTTCCGTTTACAACATAATCCCTTTTAACAATTCATGGCAACAATATAAAAACAATGAAATTAAATATTAGCGGAAGTCTTAATTATAGAAACTGAATCAACATGCGGAATAGTCAATATAATTCTCTACCCAAGACTGGTGTCACAATACTCACGAACTGCTAAGAAATACTAAACACAAACGTATGAAAGAAAACATAAGCTGTTTGTCTCGAATACAATGAGACAACAGGCTAAAAAGAGAGAATAAGGGAGACGCCGGGCTTGCGGACGCATGCAAGGCTACCTCGGGTCTCACCGGACTGAAGGCCTGCTCCCGTACTAATACTGTTGCTGCTGCTCGAAACCTGGACCTGTGCAAATAGCACAGAGTGTAGCATCAGCACAACCGACCCCATGTGCTGGTAAGTGTCTGGCCTAACCCCGGCGAGGTAGTGACGAGGCTAGGACCAGACTCCAGATGAACCTGTGCAGATATATATATACAAGTACAACGGAAAAATAGCAAGAAAGTAACAATTTAAGCTGGGGAAGGGAGCATGCTTCAGGGTAACATATAGAATCAAAATATGAGGAATAATGGTACGTACATCTACAGTTTAACTTCTAACAATAATGAAAGGTAAAACAACTTTCATATTCAACTCATCTTGTTGCAGGCGTGCAACCCGATCCCATTTCTCATTATTTCGTGGTAGGCGTACCACCCGCTCCCATTTCAACATCACTCGTGGTAGGCGTACCACCCGCTCCCATTTCAGTATCACTTGTGGTAGGCGTACCACCTTCCCATTTCAACATCACTTGTGGTAGGCGTACCACCCGATCCCATTTCAATATCACTTGTGGTAGGCGTACCACCCGCTCCCTTTACTTTCAACACAATACACAATACAATCCCGACAAGGGAACAATCAAATTAATACTCTTCCTGGCAAGGGAACAATCAAATTAATACTCTTTCCCGACAAGGGAACTATAACAACAAGTCAAATATTCCGACAAGGGAGAGTCAGCTATAACCAATCCTATTCAACTTCTTCCTGGCACAACTAATACCAATATTTAATCACAACGTTCATAGGATCAAACAAGGGTACACAATTATCAATTAAGACTCACGGTCATGCTTGACACCGACGCATCGATACTCGTCACCATGCCCATACGTCGTACTCAACACAAACAAGTAGCAATTATGACTCAACTCCTAATTCCTCAAGCTAGGGTTAAACCAAACACTTACCTCGATGCTTTGAACTCAGCTCAAGCCTCAACTATAGCTTTACCCCGTGATTCCACCTCCAATTCGCTTGAATCTAGCCACAAATTACTTAATTACTTTAATAAACACTAACTGAATCAATTTGAATGCATAAAAATGAATTTCCCAAAATTTTCAAAATCGCCCCCGGGCCCACGTGGTCAAAACCCGAAGTTCGAACCAAAACCCGGTTACCCATTCCCCCACGAACTCAAATATGTAATTTGTTTTGAAATCGGACCTCAAATTGAGGTCCAAATCCCCAATTTTTAGAAAACCTAGGTTCTACCCAAAACCCCCAATCTCACCCATGAAAATCATTGATTTTAAGTGGAAAACATGTTAAATGATGTTAATGATTGAAAGAAATGAGTAGAAATCAACTTACAATTGATTTGGAGAAGAAAGATTTCTTGAAAAATCGCCTATGGATGTTTGAGTTTGAGAAAATGTGAAAAATGAAGCTCAAAATCGGTTAAGTATAAAATATGCTAGGCTGCGGATATGGGAAATGCGAAGTTGGGTTCGCAATTGCGAACCCAGCAGGTATGGGAAATGCGAGAAAAATATTTGCATTTGCGAACACTGGCTAGTTTGGGGGTTTTCGCATTTGCGACTATATCTTCGCATTTGCGAAAAGGCCAGGCTCGCATTTGCGAGCCTTTTGGTCGCATTTGCGAACACAGTGAAATGTCCCCCTTCCTCGCAATTGCGATGCCAGGCTCGCATTTGCGAGCTCGCAATTGCGAGGCCTGCTTCGCAATTGCGAAAATTGCAGAACTGAGATGCCAGATTTTCCTAAGTTCAAAAATGCACTCCGACACCTATCCAAAACTCACCCGAGCCCTCGGAGCTCCATACCAAACATGCACACAACCTCAAAAATATCATACGGACTTACTCGCGCGATCAAATCGCCAAAATAACATCATATACATCGGATCAAGCCTCAAAACTCATGATTTCTTCCAAATTTTCATAAAACATCAATTTTCCATTTTAAGTCCGAAACACGTCAAACGACGTCCGTTTTCAACCAAACTTTACAAAAAGCGCTTAAACCATATATAAGACATGTACCGGGCGCCGGAACCAAAATACGAGCCCGATACCATAGTCTTTTAATCAAATTTCATTTTCATTTTCCTTAATCATTTCCAGAAAAAAAAATTCACACCAAAATTCATTTCTCGGGCTTGGGACCTCGGAATTCGATTCCGGGCATACGCCCAAGTCCCATATTTTCCTACGGACCCTCCGGGACCGTCAAATCACGGGTCCGGGTCCGTTGGCCCAAAATGTTGACCGAAGTCAAATTTAATCAATTAAATATCAAAATTTAGCATTTTCCTCACAGAATTCATATTTAAGCTTTCCGGCTACGCGCCCGGACTGCGCACGCAAATTGAGGCAACCCCAAATGAGGTTTTCAAGGCCTCGGAAGTACAGAATGGATAAGAAAACAGGTGATGACCCTTTGGGTCGTCACAATTTGTGAATACAGTAACGTAAATAGCGCAATTAATGGTCTATTCAGCTGTTTTTGAATCAATTAACATAATAGACTCCTATATAACTCAACTAACTCAATTATATCACCATTAACCTGTATTTGACGCGAATATGCTGAAGATTTTTTCCCGGACGATAAATAGAACAAAACAGAGCATCACCGAGTTTCTAATCCTTCCCTTTTCTATTGTATCGTTCGTGGGTGTCTCTGTTTTCAACCAATAAAATTCGAGATTCATCTATAGTGCAAAAACATATTCTGGAGATACATTTGATTACGTATATACATCTGAATACATAAATTATATTAATTAAAAAAATAAATGAATACATTCATGGAATACATCGAGACAGTGAATACAATGAAATACATGGAATACAGCAAGATACATTGAAATACAATGAAAAAAAAAGACAATGAATACAATGAAACACATGGAAATATTTAACATAATCTTCAAGTTGCTCAGGCCCAAACTCCGTCGTCTTTGTTCAAGAACAACCCTAATGTCGTCTCATCGAGAGGGCCACGATTCTGACTCGAAACGCCACTGTTCCTGTTTCGATCAAGAACTCAGCCCCGTTTCGACCTGTATTTGGGACCAGCAGTTCGCCATGAAGTACAAATACCACCAAAAGCAATGAAATCTTCCATCACTTTAACACGCTTTGCAATCGTAGTAATGAGTTCGTGCGACAATTCTGCCCAGTTCGCCATAGCAAAAGTGGATGGAAGAGGAAGGAAGATGTAAGGCGGCTTCTAGGGCAAAAATAGCAACAGGAGGATTGTAATGCTTCTAGAGCTGCAAGGATTACAAGACAAAACAATTCGAGAGGATTTGTTTAGGAGCGAAAATCTATCAACTTTAACACTTACCACAACTTTGGAGCAAAAAAATTTGAAAATTTTGCGAGACGATGGAGATGAATCAGTGGAGAATCGTGGTTGTATTCATGGAGAAAGACTGGAGTTGAGAGAGAGGGTGGAGAAAAAGTTGAAAGAATGAGAGAGAAAAATAATACAAAGCGTATTTTATGGCTTAAGGATAGGAAGTGATAATAAATAAGGTATCAACCTTTGCTATAGAAAGTATTATGGATATTTATATTGAAGTCCCATTATATTTGAATTTAAGCCCGTTAAAAAAAAAGTAAGACTCAATGGTCCCTGTCCACTTCAAATTGTGACTATGAGTCCTTATCTCATTGAAACCCCACCTGTCGAAATATGAGTGGCCTCTTGTCTCTGACCCCCCACCCCACCCCCAAGGAAACAAAAAAAGAAAACACCAAAAAGGAAAAAACGAAACAAAAGACCCCACTTTCTTGCTACATCCTTAAACATAATTCATACATAAACACTGCCATGATTCTTTGAACTTTTGCTGTTTTTTTAATCTTGTCGCTCGTTCTTCATTCTAAAGGCAAGTCTTTTTTAATCTTTTCTTGAACTCATTTTGTACGGTTTTTGAGGGCATCAAAACACAGAAAGCACAAAATGAAAAAGAAGAAGAAAAATAAAGTTAATAATTTCGTAGCCCTATTTTTCTAGGTGATAAAATTTTTTATTTTTTATTTTCTTTGGTCTTGTACCTGAGGTGAATGGTTGATGTTTGAGAAAAAGGACTATTCTTGACTTACAAAATGTATAGCAGTCATTTCCTAAATTCCAGGAACCTTGAATTACTCTTATTTTTTTTATTAAAGTATCAAGCTTTGTGATTTTGGGTTTGCGATTGGATTAAGGTATTTACATGTATATTAGTAATAATCCATGTTTTGTCTATGTTTCTCTTTCTTGGTTGTTTCTATTTTGTGGCTGAGTGTTGTATTTGGTTGCTAATTTGTCCACACAACAAAAAAATTAGTGATTAAGACTAAATTAAATTGGGTTTGTGTTAATTTTTGTGGCCTCTTTGATTTCAGTTTCTGCACCAGTAAGGGAAGTGCCCAACTTGAGTTTCACATGCTCACAGGGTTCTTCTCTCTCTTTTTATTTTTATTTTTATTTTTCTATTGATTTTTATTCTTTTGTCTTAAAGCATTAGTTGCAACATAATGTTCTTGTCATCTTTAATTGCTTGGCTGGTATAATTTTTTACCTCTCTTTTTTACCCTTTTCTCATTGTAATGTTCAATGATTTTTTGGATTTTGAACATTTAATTTTATTATGTGCATTAATTTTTCCTGCAGAGATAATTGCTGAGGTCTTGAGGTCAGGTATTTGTTAATCTTCAGGTTCATGTTTTAAGTTATAAAGAGAAAATTTGTTGTATATACAAAGAGAAAATGTATTGTAAATCGGTTCTGATGTTTGACGTGATCCTTTAAAGTCTAATTATCTGTCCATCCCCTGTCAGCTAATCTTCTGGATACTATTTGACTGGAAATTTAGGTGTCATTCAAATCTCTGGTTTTCCTGATTCAAGCTGGCATAATTTATAGTACTATTATATTAGTGATATTTTCATAACTTTTTTCGTTGTAAATCAGTAAGCTTTCCTCCTATTATTACTTCGGAATGTATTTTTAAAGGCCATAGAATTGAGCATCTATTACAATGTAATTTTTGAGAACTAAATGACCTATAAAAACCATGTGAAATTTATTTACTTAGTCACTTTTGTATCCTGTAAACCTTCTTCTTCTAACTACTCCTGGTAGTTGTTTTTCCTAACACTGAACATAAGCAGCTCTGACGTAAGTTTGCATGATCATATTCATCCAAAAATCAACCTTTACTGCTCGTAATGTATTGGACCACATTGTTCTTAACCTTCTTCTTGCTTTGCTTGGCCATGTTCTTTCTAAATGGAGCTCCATTTATTTAGGAGTTCATTGATTCACTAGGTATATGCGAGTGCAATTGAACCTCCTTAATTCTAGTATGTACCTACTTTGGCAAGCATGGAATTTAGGTAAACAAAGTTTGAAAACATTGTTTTCAAATGTCACATCAGGTTAAAATAACATACAATGGTACTAGTTTATATTTATTTGAATTCTTCTCTTTTAAGAAGGAAAACTTTTAAGCATTTAAATTCTAAGTCAAGTTTTTGGGGTATACGCACAAGATAGTAGGTGTAGCTTTTCTAGAAGAAGTAATAAGTTATGCAAACTTTAGGCAGCCTTGCATCTTGTATTTCATTCTTTGATATATGTTAATATGCATTTCCCTGAAGTTGAAGACTACTGAAGTAGCACATATGGTGATCTCTATGTGATCTCTTTACGTTGCAGAAAAATGCGTTGTATCCTTAGGAGATCAGGTAGCATCATTCAGAAAGATCCAGATATGGATGACAGTACATTGTCCCTGAAATCTCTAGAGGTGCATAAGTTCAGTTCATCTTCTATGGTTGTGTATATTAATTGCTGCAAATCACATGGATATACTAACGCTTTGTCATTCATCTGGAGTAGTTCTGACATTTATTGTGGTACTTTCTTCTAGGACTATGGAGTATCTTCTGTTATTTGGAGATTTTCCAATTGTAGGTAAAGACAGTTTCTTGGTACTATCGATGAGCTACATATATTTTTGTATTTGTGTATTATTGTTGAAGTTCATTTTCTGTAGCTTGTCACTCTATACCAACTACGTTGTTGGGAAGTGGAATTGTATAAATTTTGACGTCATATACCACTTTTATAGCTTTTCTTATAATAATTGAAATATCGAATGAGATACCAACAGTTGGCCCGATATCTTGTCACATGATATTGATTTAAGCTTAACAACGTTCATATGTGAACGTATGAATCATTTTGCAGGTCTACAGATGTTACATTCTTTGTCTTGGCATCCAATGGACTATGGAGAGTTCTTGTTCTTCCACAACAATATCTCTACCGTGAAATCTGTCGGAGATCACTTCAATCAAATGTAAATAGTTTTCAAGCTGGTTCGTTGTTGCCATTAACTTCTTTCTTGTTAGGTAGTGAGAAAATTCAAAGAGTTTTTAATATTGGCTCTCCTCTTGAATCAATCTCGTCTAGAAGCTCTCTACACGATGGAGGTGCTTTCAGAAATCTAAAGAAATGGGACATGTTATCAATCATTCCTTCTGGTCAAAATCCAGTTATCGAATGTGAATTTCCTGGAACTATCTCCCGGGGATCTGATGCCAATAGTGTAGAAGATATGGATGTTCATGACCCTAAGGAAAATAGATCCACAGACAGATTCTCAAGGAAAAAACCTAGAAAGAAGGGGAAGCGGAATAGAAATCTCAATTGCAGTAATGGCCTAAATGAGTTGCAATCTGCAGTTGGATGTTCAATAACTCAAGCTGCGGTACAAAGTATACAACATAGATCGATTAGTTCTTCTGCTAATATGTCTAATTCCTTGATGACTGATGGCATGACCGTGAGCTCATTTGCTCTTGGTTCAAGCAGTGATGAAAGATGTTGTTCGGGTGGATGTAAATCACCCCATAGTATTGTAAGAACAGAAGTTTCCTCTACTGGAGACATGTTAAACAGTGCTGGTGAGAAGAAAAAGCGCTCAAAGCAGCATGTTGGGAATCCTTATGTAACAGAAAAGAAGGATAAGTATATTAGAAGAGTTCCCAAAGACTCAAATGTCTATGCAAGTAGTACTGGAAACCAGAATAGCCATGCGAGAAAAGAAAATTATCATTGTATTTGGAAAAGGGTCCAGAAGAATGATGCTGATGTAAGCAACTGTGACTTGGAAAAATTGAACTTAGGTTACTCACAGTTTGATGATAGGTTGAAAAAAAGTACATTGAAGAAAGAGCTTCCTAATCGTGTTGATTCTATTATATTATCACAATCCGCACATGAAAATCAGGAAAAGCTCAAAGTTCCAAAAAATCCCAGGAGAAATAAGTGTCGAAATCCACTGGAGGAGAATGAAAGTCAATATCGAAAAGGATCTCCAGTTAATGGAGCCTGTTCAAATGTTTGTTTGAAGACTAACATGCAATCAGATGATGTATTTGGTTCAGCTACCCAAATAGCTACGGCAAAAAGATCAATAAATGCTGCAGATTCTCAAACTGGAACAACTAATTTTAGGGCTAGACACAAGAAAAGGAATGTTCAATATGTTTCTCTTAAAGCAATCCCAAATCCCCAAGCTTGTTCCCGTAACGTGGAAGCAACAGAAAATGTCCCAATTATTGTATCTTGCGTGGATGATCAAACGGTAGAACATCAATTTGACTTGTTATCTAGATCAGAGAAGTTCAATGACCTAACAGAGCAGCGGCGGGAGCTTCCTGCTGTGGATGGAGAGGGTGACAAAACGGACAAAGAAGTTTCTCCTTCTTGTCAAAATGTTACACAGGAGCAACTGGCTTCTAAATGTCAAGCTCTTGTTTCTTCCTCGGTGAATGTCAGAGTGATAAATGCAGGTGAAAATTCAGAAAATATAAAAGTGTTACCTGGTGATACTCAGTTTGAGAAGTTGAGAAATCATAACACATGCACTCTAGAGCAGGGCTACGAAAATGCTGCTATGGCGAAGTTCTTCGTTCCTGAAGCTAAAAGCCAACCCTTTCATAGTCTTGAAAATGATTGGAGAAACATTTCTCAGGCAGTGAATGATGCCCATAGTGCAGAGCTAGCCTCTAAAGCCATTGAGATAGGTAAGGGCTATCCTGCTGCCGAGTTTGAGAAACTTCTTCATTCTGCCTCTCCATTTATATGCCCATCTGTTAGTATTCGGACTTGTCAAGCTTGCTTCCTTAGTCGAGCTAATGCACCTCTATGCAGACATGAGATACCCAATATCTCTTTGGAGAACTTGTGGCAGTGGTATGAGAAACATGGGAGCTATGGTTTAGAAGTAAAGGCAGAGGATCACAGAAATGCAAGACAGTATGGGATGGATCATTTTAAGTTTCGTGCATATTTTGTTCCATATTTGTCAGCCATTCAGCTCTTCGAGGACCATAGGACTCGCCCAATCCATAACGATAATAGGACTCTGGGGTCCATGGATGTGGTGGACTGGAAGACGAATAAAATATCTGAGAGTTCACCTAGTGTAGATCTGGGCTCCATATTTTCTGTACTTGTACCTCAACCTCTTGTTGAGGATTCAAGCTCTTTACAAAAGGGTGTTGTTTCTGGCTCGGGGTCGTCTTCAGAGTGCAGTAATGGTGATTTACATCATTTATCTAATGATATTAACTTGTCTGATGATGTGGAGCTTCTCTTTGAATATTTCGAATCTGAGCAGCCTCAAAGGCGGCGACCGTTATTTGAAACGTATGTGATACTTAAGTTGTTTCTACTAGCATTTTAGTTTATCTTTTGTTAAGTGTTTATCTTGGAAAATAAATATAATGACCAACCTATCATGTCCTCTTGCAATGCAACATTAACCCATCACTAGCGAATTTTGTTGGCACATAGTTGCCTCAGTACTGATCATTTATGCTCCATGATGATTACCCTTACTTTGCTTTTGGTGAAGAACTAACTTTTATTTCCATAATCTCTGGTGTTGGATTTTTGGTAAAGCATATTTAATTTGTTGTTATTTCCCATGCTCTCTAAGCAGGGAAACTCTAGTTTGATTGATGTGTCATCTTGAGTTCTGTGTGAGGTTCTGTGCAGCTCGTCGCCAAAAATTTTTTTTTTTTTGTGGGTCAATAGCACTCTGCTGATCTTTCTTCAAATTCTCTATTACAGAATACATGAACTTGTCTCTGGCAATGGACCCTCAAACAGTAGATCATATGGAGATCCATCTCTCCTACATACTGCGAGCTTACATGACCTGCATCCTCATTCTTGGTTGGTAGCGGAAATGCATAGCTAGTATGATTTTATATTGTTCTCAAATATGTGAAGGGCAATGCATATCTACATCCCTGTTTGGAGAAAAATAAATATAGGGAAATAAGTGTGTGAGAAGTTATTTTCTAGTTCCAGAGCAAACTTCTCATAGATCTGATTATGCCGTGTATTTGCAGGTTTTCGGTTGCATGGTACCCCATTTATAGGATACCTGATGGCAATTTGCGTGCTGCTTTCTTGACTTATCATTCGCTTGGCCACTTTATTCACAGAGATCAGACACTAAAATCCTGTAGCGTGGATGACTGTATAGTTTCTCCAATCATAGGCCTCCAAAGCTACAATGCTCAGGTAGAATCATAGTGGCTAATCTCGCAATTTGGAGGTGTCTCTCATAGGACTTCTGAAGTTTATTAGACTACTGTTGAGTAAATAACATGCTTAAAGTTAAAATTATCACGATAAGAATAATTCTTAAAAAGGAATATATCTGTAACAAAATGCTGAATGATGGAGAGATTCTTTGGTGATGTCAACCCATAGAGCATAAAATGACTTTAGGAAGTATGTCCAAGGCATGACTAGAATTAATTGTCATGCTATATTCTCCGTCACAATTCCTGAAGTTCTGTTTAAGAAACATAATATGCTAGTAATCATGGAAAGTTCCTGAGATAGTCATTTGAAAGTCAAATTTTTGCTAGCTTAAATCATATATTAGTCGTCTGAACTTATATGAGCTTCACAAAGCATAAGTGCTCCCATATCCATATAAAAAAGGATTGCAGTGGGTTGACAGTCAAGATAAAAATAATGTAATAATGATTTATTCCAAGAATACTGCATTTAAAAGAGCAGAACAGAGACAGCGAATTCATTTAGCTGACCCCAACTAATTTGAGGTTGAGGTGTAGTTGGTTGTTTGAATGGCTTGGTTAGGCTAAGATTACAAGGTGGTTCAAGCAACGTGAGTTGTACTCATTTACAACTTGGAGAACTGTTTGTGTATTCAACTCTTCCTTAATATAATATTATCCCTTCATGTAAAATACACCATATATGGCCATGACATTACTTCTTGTCTGAATGGCAAAACAAAATAGGGTGAATGCTGGTTTCAGCCAAGGCACTCTGCTGACGACCTGACTGAAGAATTCTTGGATATGGACCTTCATACAGTTCTGAGAGAGCGAATACGAACATTAGAGCAGACAGCGAGTATTATGTCACGAGCTGTGAGAAAGATTGGAAGTGATACGCTCGTGAACAGACATCCTGATTATGAGTTTTTCCTATCCAGGCGACGCTAATTGCTTCTGATCCTTGTATTCTGATTGTAAGTTGTTATGCTCTGTAGATAGCGTAGTATACTTATAGGATCTCCTTTTCGGGGTTGAAAGTAGTGCTTACTGGTTACAGTTAGGAATTTTATCGGTGCTTCTTCTTGTAAGCTCTGGAGTGAGTTGTATATATGTAGTTTTGTCTAGTTGGAATTAAATTATGCAGCATGTTATGAGATGATTTTTGCGGATTAAAAGTCACAGATAGTTCAGTTAATAAGTTGTAACTTTGAGATTCGGTTTCCATATCCGCTGTGTGCGCCGACTTTCAGCATGCTAAGGGTCTATCGGAACCAGCCTCTCTGCCCGTCCAGGGTAAGGCTGCGTACATCTTACCCTCCCCAGACCCCACTTGTCAGAATTGGGTCGTTGATGTAGCTGGTTAAGAACCCGAATAAAATAGGAAGGTTATAGTCAGAAATCAGAAGAGTCTGCTCGCTCTCGTTACATTGACAATGCAATGAATTTAAACAGAGTAGAGCTGAGATACAATGATTATATAACCCACTCTAGTTGTTTGTAGCATAGTTGGTTGATAGTACGTTTGGATGGTAAAAGCATGGACCTATTCATACTGAAAACTTGGGAAACAAGAATAAAGTTAATTTGGATCTTAGTTTACAGATTATATTTGTGAACTCAGGTTGGCTAAGACAACTATTTGGTTACCCCCCCTTTAATCTCCCTTCTTTACGTTAATATTTGATTGGTTAATAAAATTCCCACCTCAGATAAAAACTATTTCTAGCTTTTTTTGTTTTGTTTTTTGAGAACAACTTTTTGTTCAAAAGTATTAGTACTTGTAGAAAAATGTCTCCCTGAACTATCTGATGAACCGCCAAAGCACACGGTCACCAACAATTTGTTGGTCTCGTTGATATAGGTATATTATTCTGCAACATGGATGAACGGATCAATTCTGTTCTTTCAGTTGCTTTTCTTTTGGGTGTGATTGATGTTACATTTGCCGATTATCCCCGTTCTACAAGAAATGAATGTTGGTCTTTAATCCCCATTTATATTTATGACAAAATTACATAATAATGCACTCTATAAGTTGACCTTGCATTATTTTAGCCCACTTACAAGTTTGCAAATGTGTAGCCAAGTATTAATAAGCTTAGATCTGAATTTTTTTCCAGTTTTTTTTATGCTCTTTATCTTCAAGCGTGAAACATTTCCATTCTCTTTTTTCCTCAAATTTCTACACACCTATCACAACTACGAAATTCAAAAACAGACGCGAGAAATCTAAAATCTCATCTTCCTTAATGCTAATCTTGTTAGGTTTTGAATATGATTTTGTGAGAAATTTGGAGTGGGTATTGTTTGAACTTATTATAATTAATGTAAGCAGACTGTATACGAAGTTTGGAGTCATTTAATGGAAATTTGGAATAGTTTTAATCAAGAATTGCAAGTGAAAATTGTACAAAACGTTCATCAGAGATGCTTATACATTTTTATACAATATTATACACTTTTATACAAAGAGGTATATATATATATATATATATATATATATATATATATATATATATAGTTGTATAAAAATGTATAAAGATGTTTAAGCACAGTAATAAAAATGTTAGTGATACACCATGTATATAGGTGTAGTAGTTGAAGAAGAAGAAGAAATGTGAGAAATCCACCAAATACCTGTAAATAATGTATAAGAGGTGTTTATACACCATTACACATTACTTATACACTATTATACAAATGAATCCTATTAATGGAGCTTCACAGGTTCTTCTTCTTCTTTGGGCATCTTCTGAAATTCAACTCAAATCTAGCTTAAATCTGCTCCAAATCACTTCAAATTTGAGTTTTTAACTCCCCTTGACGATCCCAATCAATTGTTCCAACACCCAATCCAAACAACTAACAAAATTGAAAAATCCAATTTCTGAAATTGAAGCTTCAAATAACCTTTAATGGTGACTCCAAAAATAATAATTCTCTTAAGGGGTATTTTACTTCACATCTTAATAGTGATTGTAAACTTTGAATCTGGAAGGAAAATTGAAGAATATATGTAATGGTAGAGAAATTTTGGGATGCAAAGTCGTGAAACAGGAAGGAAGAAGAAGAAGAACGAAGAAAAGAAAAAAAATAGGGTGGGCTAATTGGTGAAAAATAACTTTCAGATTACGTACAACCTGGGCCATATCAGGTAAGAGCTTCAAACGTGGGCCATTTTTTGATGGACTGTTGGACCAAGTGACAAGGAGCATAATTTCCCGGGAGAAATTCAAAAATAGCCAGATTTACCACTGGTCGTTGAAAAATAACCAAGTTTCAAAACTCATCGAAATTTAGCCACTTTAAATCTGAGCGAAAACACTGTTCAAAATTCGGAAAAATACGCCCGCAAATTTTACGGGAGTTCCAACATAAGTATGCTTGAACTCCCGTAAATTTTACGGGAGTTCCAGCAAGTATAATTGTCCAGTATAATATACTGGAGTTTGGAGCACTAGTGCTCCAGTCTCCGCAAATTTTACAGGAGTTAGCAAAGTATACCGGTCCAGCATAATATGCTGGAGTTCGTACACAAATGCACCAGAACTCCCGTATATTATACTGGACCGGTCCCTGTTGCAGCAAAATAGTGGCTATTTTTCATTGACTTGATAAACGCTGGCTATTTTTCATTGACCAGTGTAAAAACTGGCTATACCATGATATTTTAACTAATTTCCCCTTAATTTATCTATCTACTTTAAATGCGGTGGGTGGGTTGGGTGTGTGGGGGGGGGGGGGTGTTGCACTGCTGTATAAGATAAGACCAACGTACGAGAAATTTCTCTCCCAACAACGGCCAGACCTTGCATTTTGGAACTAAAACTTCAATGTTACATATGTTCCCGTATGGAAATTCAAGTCACTCTACAGCCACAGACTTCATGAATGTGTGTGTGTGTAACTTAAGTTGAAATGAAACAAACAAAAGATGACAACACCTTTGTTTGCCTTTTGTATTCATGACATCTATAGCAAGGTTCGCCCACGAGAGCAATTGCAGAACCATTGAGAACAGTTGCCATCATTCTATCGAATTATAAAATATAATAACTCAAGCAGCCCAATCTTCATCGCTAGCTTCGTCTGCATCCTGAACATATTAAGAATCAAAGTATGTTCCAAAATGTGAGGGTCTAGGACTTCACAGCAGTGTACAAACTTGACGACACAACACAGCAGCAGCTAAATTACCATATAAAAAATATTCAATGAAAAGAAGAAAAAGAAAGGGAAGTGTGTCAGAACTCAAACCTTTGACGAACTAGAGAACTCTTCAGTGTCATCTTCACCCTACAGAGCGTCAAAGCACAGAGAACAGCAATTATATTTTATATTACCTGAATTTAGAAATGAGAGAGTTGCACAACCAGTACAGATATTTTTCTTTCTTTTGGATAAATCAAATGAACCAAGATACATTGATCTCTAGTCAGCCGAGCATGAGAAAAGTTGGCTTTCCAATCCATGAAGCTGCAGTCCATTTTATATTATACAACATGAATGGATAGGAAAATAAATGCACTCATCAGAACAGGTTTTTTTTATTTTGTTTTTAATTTACAGACAAAAGAGTTTTCATGAGTTCTGGACCAAATATATATAGCAACAGTCTCAGAAAACATGACAGATAAATTTAGAAAGCTATATTCAAAGCTGCAGATCAAGGAATCGGCATAACTTCCAAGTGAAACTGTTTTTCATGGGAGAAATGTTAATTACCGCAGTGAATTATCTTCGAGAACAACTAATCTTGCAATGTGTATTATGAGCACACAAAAGAGAGATCCTCGCCTCTCCCAAACTTTCCTTAGCAGATGAAGGTGATAAAAAAGTTTGCCAAAGCTAGCACTGTGTCTACTTTAACTCAGATTAAGGTGAACTACTTCCCAAAATTGGAAAATCCAAGCATCATTCAGGGGTGAGAAGATATCCAATTGTCGAACTAACAACGATTCAGAAAATTAATTACTATGTATTTGACCTGGATTCATAGTCTATGAACCAATCCAATTATTATAAAATATATCTTCAACAGTCTTATAAGAGCCTGCCAGACTTCCTTTCTTTATCTTTGCTAGGTAGTCAAAACTACCACTTAAGAGCAAACAAAGAAGATGCAAGAAACAGAGTCACCCAGAATAGGACTGAGCGCACCGAATGGATAAATTGCAGAACATAGTCTGAATTTTACCTGAGAAGTACCAAGATGATCAGACACGGTCGAACCACATCCTGTGCTGGATGTCCCTTTGTTTGTTGATTTTGTTGTTTTTCTTTGGGAAACTCTAGCTGGACTGACAAGCTTCAAAATTTGTGGAGAAATACGAACATAATTATTTGTGCATCAATAGAATAAGTATGAGCATGACCCAATAAAAATATGAAGAGACGTTGACAAAAGAATCACTTTTACCCCAAAACAAAATTCAGTGTTAGCCATGAGAATCCATCTGTGATAGTATGAAATATTATGTGGTATCCCCGCCTATAGTCCCTCAGTTATCTCTTTGAGAATACAACTCAATGGTTAAGGTCATATTCTGCAATAAAATGTAGGCAAAATGCCAGAAAAACTAAAAAGAAGTTTGCAGTAATTTTTTTTTTTTGGGGGGGGGGGGTGTTGTTGTAGGAGGAAAGTTCTTAGAAAATTTTCCCCAGGGAACTATTTCAGAGAATGCCATTATGATAACTTCCACATTATCATCTGAGAATGAAAACATCAAAGCTATTGCTCCTATTTGTGAAACTGGTCTCCAAATTTCCTATTCTTTCCTCCCATGATTCTTGCATGATCACTCTTTGCCATCTCTACCCCAGTGTTTTTGAGAGCGGGAGCGCAAAAAAGCGACAGGGGCTCGCCTCGCTTCAAAAGCGAAGCGCAAAGCGAAGCGCACGCTCCATTGAAGTGAAGCGCAATTGTGAAAATACATATAATATATATAATAATTAATTTATAAACTGAAATACATATAAAATTTATCAAACTGAAAGTATAACATATATATAATAATTAATTTTATAAACTGAAATACACATTAAAAAATCAAATCAACTGAAAGATATAACACATATATATAATAAGTAATTTTATAAACTAAAATACATATTAAAATTAAGAAGAATAAAAGGGAGGGAAAAAAGAAAACCAACGCCTGCCCTAGCTGTGCAGACGACGCTGGAGGAGAAAAAGTGAAAAAGAGAAGAGAAGAAGAAGGAAAAAGAAAGAAAAAAGAGCAGAATCTGGACGGGAACAAGAAGAAGAAAGAAAGAAGAAAGAAAAAAATGAGAAGAAGAAACTTACCTGGAAACCCTAGTTTTGTCGATGAAGAAGAGAGAAGAGGTCTCTGTTTTGTCAAGCAATTACAGAAGCGAGGTTAGGGGTCTGTTTTGTATAATTTACAAACAGAACCCAATTTTTTTTTTTTTTAAAAAAAAAAGGGCCCAGCTGCGATTTTTTAACAGAAGCGATCGCTTCACTCGCCTCGTCGCCTTGTCGCTTTTTCACTGAAGCGTGCGCTTCATACGAGCGCGTCGCCTCAGGCAGTAAAAAGCGATGCCCTGTCGCTTCGCGCTTAAAGCGACGAAGCGATCGCTTTTCCAAACACTGCTCTACCCTCTTTTACAGGGAATGTTGTTAATCCAGGACAACAACTCTTTTTGCTCCCAATAACCATATTCTGCTATGCCTATTGAAATTCGATCACCTTCATAACCATGTCACTACAAGCGTTGTACTGCATATACACAATCACATGGTTTAGCATCAGGTGTCGCTAAATACAATTTCTGAATGCAGGTTTCAGGATACAAGCTTTAGATCGATTTAAGGGATGAAGAGCTGTGGTGACCCGTGAAGGGAGATGGTAAGAAACAAGCATGGGTCCCTCCCTCTCTCTTCAACAAGTATGCATCGACATTGTTAGACAGACAAAATATTCAACAATTTCAAAAACAAACTTGCAGCCTCATATCAGAGCTACGAGTATGTACCTTGTCCACTTTCTTAAACAATGTGGAAATAGTAGTCTGAACAAGAGAATTTTGCTTAGTACGGGAGGATTCCTTAGACTTGGAAGCAGATTCAGCAGCAGCTCTAATTCTTTCAGCAACTTGACCTTGTGCTACAGTATCATCAAAAGGAATGTCACAGACTGCACCACAGATTCTTCAATCCATGAAACTATGTAAAGGAACTAGGAGATAGCAGGTAAAGGGAGATGAACAACAGAACAAGCCCAGAGAACAGCGAGATTTTGAGTGACTCTGACTCTAGTGGCTTCTATGAAGAGTTTGAAAAAAAACTATAAACGATATAAGAAATTATTCATGGAGATGATTCCAAGCGTACAATTTTTTGTTGAATGATCCCTACCACTTTTTTCTTCTTCTTCAGAAGTTTCAGCTCCATTGTCAGTCAAATCATCCCCGGAAGAAGCTTCTGCAAAACTGAGTTACTGAACATAAAACTCCTGATAATGGTTAAGCAGAGGAAGACATCAAACTCGACTGGATCTTAGTTAATAAAGAATAAAACATCCCTCAAGAAATTAATGCAAAAAAAATACAAACTATAATTTCAGAAAAAAAAATTATAAGCATAAAAAGTTGCAACAAAATAGAAGTGATCATTCAGTCACTTCTTTGGATAGTCCTTGAATGAGTACCAAATTAAGGCTCCTTTCCCTAATAATAAAGGCACATTTTCTGGATGAACTTAATTTAAAATGCCTTTCTCTCTTACGCTTTACTTTATGTAGGTACAGTAATCCTGGGAAGTCCATGAAGTTGTCTTTCAGCTCCTTGATAAAAGCTATGTTATATACTAGTACAGTTGCATGCAATATGATACAGTCAGTGTGCAAGGGATCAATAATGAGAAAAACTACATATTATACAAGTCAAAGCATATACTTGATTTTCTTTCCTGCTGCCCTGGCTGAACGACGAGTTGGAGTTAACTCAACAAGTTCTTTTGAATCATTTTGACTTTCTGATATATTCTCCTCCTGTTCGTGTTCAGGAGACAGTTGTTCCACATGCTTGACCTCACATTCGCCACTGCTTCGTTTTTTCACGCTTGTAGCACCTGCACCACCTTTGAAATCACACTCCAATTTCTCTTGCTGTAAACAAATAAGAAATCTAGAGTAGTGTCAGCAATCCTTTGAAAACAATTTGTAACTTTAATATACTCTACTAATTAAGGCTTTAACTGGTTGAATTAAGGGAATAACTCAACAAAAAACTAACCACATTCAGCTCCTTTGGAAACTCAAGCCGTGCTTCTTCTGGATTCTCGTCTTTCCTCCCTATCCACCATGCATCAGAAAACACAATCTGCAAAAGAAATAAGCCATAAATCAAGAAAAAGGAAACAGGAGAAGTAAATGTAACTAGGTGCAGAATAAATCCTTTCTCTTTTTCATCAGAACCTTATACTAACTTGAACCGTAACAGAAGTAAACCAAACCCCAAATTTTGGTTGAACAGAGTCAACAAACAAAAAGTAGATCTAAATTTTTTCTTAAACTCGAGAGAAAAAACTTTTGGAATGGTCATTGGCATTTGATATTCAACATGTTTTTAATATCTCAAAATAACATAGTTTAAGAGAAATCTACAAGGTCATCAGAAACAGACTTAACAATATGCCTTCTTGATGGATAAGACAACTCTATTACAAGAATATTTGCTGATTAAACTTTTGGATTGTAAAATCAAATCAATTGTGCAATTTATTAACAAATGAAGGTTTCATCCTTACGGAAAAACATGAGAGGAACATTCCATAGAACGGATGAGAAGTACAAAACAGAGAATTAATTAATAGCAGTCAGTTTGGAAGTTTCCTTCACCTTTCACAATGCGAGTCAAAACTATTCAACTTACAGCATTTTTAAAAGATCAATAACTTGAGAAGGAAACTTGAAAGAACAATATCCATGCTAATCAAATGAAAATCCAAAAGCACAGACAGCTTTAGCCTAATAAGTTCTATAAGTCAATATGGACCAAGCTAGCTTTACAACGCACTCACATTCTACGACCCCAGCAGTAAGCTCCTGACCGACAAAGAACAGAACCACTGGACATTGTGAAATCACAAATTCATATATCAGAATATGACAATCTTAAAACGTATCAGAAATATGGTCTGTGCCAAACTTAACTAAAGAGTCATTCTTGGTTCTATTTTTCATTGTCATGAAACATATCTGTTAGGTAAAAGATAAATATTTCCTCTCGATTCATCCCCATTCCTGAGAGGAAGGCTCCTGGATACTTCCTTTTCAACCATCGGAAGAGGTATTTTGTATCTGTAGACAATATAATTCCACAGCCTACAACAGATTAATGTGAACAGAAATTTTACTACCTTGTTCCATCTAAAATGATGCCTTCATGATGATTTTTTCCATTGTGATCGAAACAAAATTAACTACTTAGGAAGATAAGTATTTGCAAAACGAAGCTCCTGCCATTCAAATAGATACTAAGCTAAACAGATTAGGAATCAGAAGAATAGAGCATGTGCGGGATTACCAACCATATTGTCAAAGTAATCTTCGCACACTACATTCTTCCCGCCTCTTGAGAACTGCAAAGTCAAATACCTATTCTCTGGATATACAATTGTCCCAAACAACTTCATTTGGCCCTGCAGATCCAAAGGAGTACAAAAATGAGTTTGCACTCAAATCTTAGATGAAGATTTAAATGCTAAGAATTATATGGTAGCAATTACTTTCAGCTTTTTTTTTTGAGAATAGCAATTACTTTCAGCTTAGTAAATATAAAAGAAAATTCAAGACAATTACATATAAACACAATGATAATCATACACACTAAAAGGTCAGCCCGGTGCACTAAGTTCCCGCTATGCGCGGGGTCAGGGGCCGGACCATAAGGGTGTATCCTACACAGCCTTACCCTGCATTTCTACAAGAGACTGTTTCCACGTCTCGAACCCGTGACATCCTTATCACATGGCAACTTTACCGGTTACGCCAAGGCTCCCGTTCTAATCATACACACTAAAAACCTAAAAATAAAAGGAAAAATTAACTCTACTTGCTCCCAAGTAATCATTACTATTTCTTAGCACTCGATCCCAAACAAGGAGAAAATCTACTTGAGAAGAATGAATGTAAAATGTCCAATCAAGAGCAAGTAGAAATAATTGATTAAGTAGTACAGAAATAGTTATACCTGAGGAAAGTCGAGGTAGAGAATAGGGTTTTTGGTACCAAGGTCTTTGAGCTCGCCAATTTTACCTCCGGAAACAGGAGCAAGTAAACCGGGAAAAGAGAATAGGAAACGGTTCTTTCGCTGAGACTTGCGCAAGATGTCTTTGCCGTGGTGTTTAATTACTGTCTTTGATGGGCTCAAAGCACTAGTCCGAACCCTTGAAGGATTTTCCGAGAGCATTTGCTTTGAAATTGCCAGTTTCTTCAACCTCTTTTTCTCCAGCATATCTGGGTTAGGTTCTCCATCTGCTGCTGCTGCCTTCTTCCCGCCTCTAGCCATACTCTTTGCTGAAAAACAGTACTGGCCTAGACCCGTGGTGGTAGTATGCAGCAAATACAGAGCGGGGAAAAAGTTGCTCTTATAAAATCGTGTTACTGAATACGACATGTAAAGTGCATTCAGCAAATGCGACTATAAGGGCATTTGAGTAGTTGCATTTGGACTTGCGCATTCACATTTCCAATCTTTCGCAGTTTAGTTACCAATACGACATACAAAATGCATTTCGGAAATGAAATTTTAGCTCTCTATCCTACTATGAAACATGTAAATGCCTTTTACATATAAATTTTCCACATTTTTAAAAAAACTCATAAAAACTGCATATTAATGAAATTTTCCAGTTAAAATTGCACATTTTAGAAAGAAAAAACCATCCTCCATCCCAACAGAAGTACTATCCCGGTAAATTGGCGATTCATTTTTTTAGTCTATTTCAAAAAGCACGATCTTTTTAAAATTGAATAATATTAATTTAAAATTTATTTTAAAAATTTATAAATGTATAAAATGTAACGACATATTTTATTTCGCACTATTTAGAAAATGACATAAGTTTTTTCATTAAATTTAAAATACTTTGATATTATTTTATTGTAAATTTCTGCTTATTATAATTCTTCTCGTTATCGATGTAAATTTTATTTCAAAAGGTTTTGAAGTCAGTTTTTTTGGAAAGAGGGCACTCAAACCCTTGAATATTCATAACACTCCTTGTCAACCAGCCAAACGTTGAAATAATCTTCAAATATTATTTTAAATTAGGTTATAGGCAAACGGGTACATAAATAAAAATTAATAAAGAGTTATTTTCTATTGCTTCCCCTTTCAAATACTTGAACGTATAAACTTCCAATCTTAATTATATTATTATCATTGCTTTCAATACAATTTCAGGTAGACATTATATTATATCATAAAAAACTTTAAGAAAATTTGAAATTTTTAACCGGCGAAAATCAAATATGATAAGAGAGGAAATGGGATTGACTGATGAAAATTATATGGATTTTAGGGGATATTGCAGAATAGAAGTTAGATCTTCCAAACATGTGACACGAGAAAGTCTATAATAAGTATTCAAGGAAAAAAAAGTTAAGAACAATTATGACCTCGCATGTGCTGATAATAAATTATCAAGTTGTAAAAAACTCATAAAAACTGCATATTAATGAAATTTTTCAGTTAAAATTGCACATTTTAGAAAGAAAAAATCATCCTCCATCCCAACAGAAGTACTATCCCGGTAAATTGGCGATTCATTTTTTTAGTCTATTTCAAAAAGCACGATCTTTTTAAAATTGAATAATATTAATTTAAAATTTATTTTAAAAATTTATAAATGTATAAAATGTAACGACATATTTTATTTCGCACTATTTAGAAAATGACATAAGTTTTTTCATTAAATTTAAAATACTTTGATATTATTTTATTGTAAATTTCTGCTTATTATAATTCTTCTCGTTATCGATGTAAATTTTATTTCAAAAGGTTTTGAAGTCAGTTTTTTTGGAAAGAGGGCACTCAAACCCTTGAATATTCATAACACTCCTTGTCAACAAGCCAAACGTTGAAATAATCTTCAAATATTATTTTAAATTAGGTTATAGGCAAACGGGTACATAAATAAAAATTAATAAAGAGTTATTTTCTATTGCTTCCCCTTTCAAATACTTGAACGTATAAACTTCCAATCTTAATTGTATTATTATCATTGCTTTCAATACAATTTCAGGTAGACATTATATTATATCATAAAAAACTTTAAGAAAATTTTAAATTTCTAAACAAAATGGCCGGCGAAAATCAAATATGATAAGAGGGGAAATGGGATTGACTGATGAAAATTATATGGATTTTAGGGGATATTGCGGAATAGAAGTTAGATCTTCCAAACATGTGACACGAGAAAGTCTATAATAAGTATTCAAGGAAAAAAAAGTTAAGAACAATTATGACCTCGCATGTGCTGATAATAAATTATCAAGTTGTAGACTTTCAGTAGTGATATCATTATTCAAGCATTGATATAAATTTGTAATAATAATAATGTATCAACAAAGCATACTGTGTGATGAACGTGTGGAGTATTTTGAGTCGATTAATATCTTAAAAGGGGGTTAGCATATAAAATCAAATCATTCTAATGTGACTTAGTAGTTAATGAGATGGATATAAGCATTAAAGATGATAGTTCAAATGAAGTGAATATTCAAGGACTTTTTGGGTAAAAACTTATTTTAAATTAAGAACAGCTAATTTTACTAAATAATTATATAATTGATCGTATATTGAATCTCCCATTTTTCTTTCTCTCTTTAAAACTAAGTTTAGCGGGGGTGACTTTCACAAATAGGATATTTATATATCACTTTTTAAGCTATGATCACATCTAAATAAATTTAGAAAAAATAATCTGTAGATTATAACTTTGCCGTAAATCTTCGCGGATTGAAATCGATAGGCAAAGACTTATTTGGAAGTAGGTCCTTACGAATCACCAAGATTTCAGTAAAACAAATTGTTCATTACTCCTAACAAGTCGCTAAGTGTAATGGATGGAGCTATAGACTAAGTTTATTATTTGTAGTTTGACCCTCCTTAGTTTTACTTTTACAGTTTAGCCTTAGTTTACAACCTATTTTCATTATTACCCCTCACAGGCTTGCTTTATATCCTTTAAGCAGAGAATTATCGAGGCATGTTGAATGAAAATCAGAATTTTTATCTTTTAATTTCTTTTCTCTTTCTTTAAATTTCTCTTTCAAGTTTTCAATGGCGAATCCACCGTGGGATTCGCTACACTAAGAGCTTTTGATGGATGAAAAAAATACTTGCCTTGGCACAAGTCCTGAGAGATCGTTAGGACTTTAGTACAAATTATATTACAAATTTTGAAAAAATTATTCAAAAGTCCGAGCTGATCACCAATACAAATTGTATGACAATTTTGTTTAAAATTGTTCAAAATTTTCATTGGTTAAATTCAATCAAGTCCTTCAAAAATCAATAGACACACTTTGTCTTCTTTAACCATCAAGCGCAACAAACTCCAACAAAAGTGTTCTTCGTGCTTCTTCAACCAAACCAAACACAAATAAGCAATGGAATCTTTAATTCTTTTTCCAGTATACATAAAATAGTGAAGAAAGAGGAGGGAGAAAAAGAAGAACAAGAATGAGGAGGAGGATAAAAAGTTATGGCAAATATCTATGCTTGCTAATTTTTTTGAAAATAGGAAGCAAAAACTAAACACCAACTCTTAAGAAAGGACACCCGATGAAATTTCTTCTTTGAAAGCATGAGTCAAAATTACATTGGGTGGAACTTTCTAGAATCACCATTTATATTTTAATCCCGTTAAGAAAATTCTAGTAAAATAACTCTTTTGGCAGTATTTTATAGTCCATGCTAGAATTGTGAAGCACGCTGCCAGAATTTTTCCCATATGAAATTTTTTAACGATTGCCATATTTTGTGGCAAATCCTGATGATCATCATATGAATTTTTTGACGATCACCATATTTTTACAAAATTATGATAATCATTCTGAGATTTTCTTTTTTCCTGCAATTGCCATGTTTTTTTTTTTTTTTTTTGCAAATAATGATCACAATATAAAAATTAATGGCGATTTTCATATTTTATGACAAATCCTGGTGATCACCTAATAACAGCAAGGTCGGGAATCCAAACTCGAGTAAGAATTTAAGAAGTAAATGCTGAAGCAATAACAATAAGAAATTGAACGACTAGAATTAAAGTGCAGAAAATAAAGGATATGGGAAAATTCAGGGAAAGAATTCCAAGAACGCAAGTTCTATAACCTTGACAAGATCCAAGTAACAACGTTTTGATTTATTGAAGAAATCAAACGCCTTTACTTAAGAACAAATCAAAAATAATAGATTCGGATCTTGACCGCTTTACGAGTAACTTGAGACAACAATTAATAACTAGTATTAATCGCCTTCTAAGAATACCACAAAGAAATCAATGATATCACAATAAAGAAGTTATCTTACTACCTTGAACTATGAACTAGTAAAGGTTGAAAGATAAATCTCAAAGTATAAGTAACAAAAGTTTAAAAGAACTCTTAAAGTATAATATTATTAAGCAATAATGAAGTACCACAATGAATGAAAAGAACTCCTATTTATAGGAGTAAAAAATTCTTAAAACTAGGTAAGGTGGCTGCCAAGGCAAACCCTAACTTGGAGATTAAGCTAAATACTAGAAAACCTAATAAAAGCTAATAAAAATAAGAGGGTGGGCAGCCAAATCCCTTAAGGCAGATTTGGGCCTTAAAACTACTAGTTGGGCCATTGGTTTGGACTCCAGTTGGGCTCTTTTTGAAACACCCCTTTTTGGACCTCTTTTAAGCTCATTTTAAGCTCTTCTGGTGCTCTTTTGGTGGACTTCAAGGGCTGATGTTGGGACCCAATCTCCCTCCTCTTGAACTTCAATTTGGGCCACCAAATAATTGTGAAACTTGGACAATTCATCTCCTTTGGGCTCGAGTTCTTCCTCTACAATTAAAAGCTTTTTATTTGCCATTGAAGTCCAGCAACCTTAGTTTGTAATTCTTTAGCTTGAGATCTTGTAAATGGCCTTCTTGGAGCTTCCAAAACTCTATCATTGTCCTTGATGCTATCATTCCCCTCTTCTTGAAAAGAATTCGTCCCCGAATTCGATCTTACATCAAACAAAGACAAGTCAGCAACATTGAATGTAGCACTTACTTGAAACTCACCAAGAAGGTCCAGCTTGTAAGCATTGTCTCAAATCCTTTCTAGGCCTTGAAATGGGCCATCTCCTCTAAGATGCAACTTTGACTTCCTTTTGGAAGGAAATCTCTCCTTCCTAAAGTGAACCCAAACTAAATCTTCAGGTTGAAAAATAACTTGTTTTCGACCCTTATTCTTTCTCAAGGTAGTTTGCTCATTTTTCTTCTCAATTGCAAGCCTTGTTTGCTCATGATTTTTTTCATCATTTCAGCCTTTGTCCTACCATCAAGATTAGCAATATCATTAAGAGGAAATGGTAATAAATCAAGGGGAATAAAGGGATTAAAACCACAAAAAACCTCAAAAGGAGACATACCTGTAGAAGAATG